AGCTGCTGCTGCTGTTGGGTGTGCTGCAGCAGAGGCTGTCGAGTCGCCAGCTAGCGGAGCTTCTCCTTCTTGCTGCTGCTGCTGCTGTATCTGCTGCATTTGCTGCTGTTGCTGTTGCTGTTGCTGCTGCTGCAGCAGCTGCTGCTGCAGCTGCTGCTGCAGCTGCTGCAGCAGCTGCTGGGGGCTCGGGTATGCATGCCGCAGCACCGATGAAGGGTCCTTAACTATGAAGATTGCTGCTGTAACTGCAGCAGCAAACATCAGCAGCAGCAGCAGCAGAGCAGCAACACAGCTGCGGGGGATTGGGCCTTTTGCTGCTGCTCTTTCTGCTGCGAATGCTGCGGGGCCCCCAGGGTATGTGAGGGCCACGTGCTGCTCTGGGTCGCTTGAGTCAGGGAATACAAACGGTGCTGCTGCTGCTGCTGCTGCTGCTGCTGCTGCTGCAGCAGATGCAGCAGAAGCAGATGTTGTAGCAGCAGCAGGAGAAGACAGCTTGTCTTTTGTTGACACCCTTGAGGATGAGCTGCTGCGAAAAGAACGAGATGCTGCTGTTGCTGCTAGTGTTGCTGCTGCTGCTGCTGATGCTGCAGCAGCAGCTGCTGCTGCTGCTGCAGATGTCGCGTTGCTGCTGCTGCTGCTGCTGCTGCTACCCTGTCGAAGCAGAGCAGCTCCTCCAGATCTTCTCCGTGTCAGAGTTGCTGCTGCTGCAGGCTTGCTGCTGCTCCCTTGCTGCTGCTGCTGCTGCTGCTGCAGTTGCTGCTGCTGGGGGTCTTGTGTAAACCCTGAAGCCCCCGCCTTGCTGAGGCGGCTGGGGGCCCCCAGGGGGGCCCCCGGGGGGGGCCNTTGTGTAAACCCTGAAGCCCCCGCCTTGCTGAGGCGGCTGGGGGCCCCCAGGGGGGCCCCCGGGGGGGCCCCTGGGGTGGGCCCCTCTGATGACATCTCTGTTTTTTTCTTTGAGGGAGAGGAGCTGGGCGTTGCTGCTGCTGAGCTGCTAGCGTCACGCACAGAACGCAGCAAACGCAGGCGAGCTCCTGTTGCTGCTGCTGCTTTCTCGCAGCAACGGGGCAGGTGCATCGCTGCTGCTGCTGCTGCTGCTGCTGCTGCTGCTGCCGTTGCTGCTGCTGCTGCTGGTGATAGTGTGGTTGCTGCTGCGTGTGTTGATGCTGCTGCTGCTGTATATGCT